GGCCCAGGAACTTTCTCCATCGCACAAAGTTTAATGCATTCTAGAATCTCCTCCTCCTTAATTTGTTTCTGTAACTCTTCCTTTTCATCCTCATTAATACAAGTAATCCCCTGCAATTGTAATTCTGGCCTCCAAACTTCTATCTCCTTGTACAAATTTTCGTAGTAACTCTTGATGGCCTCCTTGATATCAATAGGATCAGTGACATTGCTTCCCTCCACCTTTAAAGATTCTATGGTGTTGTATCTTTTGCGAGATGTAGTTATTCTATGAAAAAACTTTGTGTTCTTAACTCCCTGCTTCAACCATTGTATTCTAGATCTGTCTCCACCTTATCTCTTCATTTTTGACAACTTCTTCAAGGGACATTGCCAAATTTGTTTTTTGCATTAATTCATCATCTGTAAGTGGTCTTTGCTCCTGAAGGATCTCCCATTTGGACAATTTGTCAAGGATTTCTTCCTTTTGTTGTTTCCAGTTGCTCCTATTATTCTTGCTCCATTCCTTCAATTTCCTTTTAAGGAGTTTCAGCTTTTCAGCTAAGACAAAACCTGTTGTACCAGTAACTACAAATGATGACCACCAGAAACTCACTTCTCCTTGAAGCCTTCAACCCCCATCCACCAGTTTTCAAATTTGAAGTATGACTTCTTGAAGTTCATGTCTCCACAAGTCAGTAGAACTGGGTTATGATCAGATACCAACTTTGGAAGAGTTGATTGTCTAATGAGGGTGAAGAGTTCCTCCCATTGAGCATAATACATTATTCTGTCAATCCTTGATGCAGTTGTATGGTTCTCTCCTCTTCTCCAGGTGAAAGACCCTCCAAATAAAGGAGGGTCTGTAATCTCCACCTCCTCAATACAATCAGAGAATTCTGACATAGCCCCATTGATAGATGAACAGTTTGTTCTTTCTGATGGATATCTGATGACATTAAAATCACCACACACTATTATGAGCCTACAGGCACGAGGAAGCACTTCAGGATTAAAAGAATGGAGGAACGCTATGGAGCAGGAGATGTTAATGATCAAGAAAAAAAACTTAGGAGTTAGTTGACAGGCAGAAAGATAGGAAGGTCATTGGAGTAAAACAGATGTTTAGAATCAAGCTTAGTTCTGATGGTTTGATCAATAAAATAGGAAGGTCATTGGAGTAAAACAGGTGTTTAGAATCAAGCTTAGTTCTGATGGTTTTATCAATAAAATACAAGGCTAGGCTTGTTATCAAAGGATATGCTCAAATATTTGGTGTTGATTACTTGCACACCTTTGCTCCAGTGACCTGATTTGATACCATGTTGCTAGCAATAGCAGCACAAAAGGGCTGGAAAATGTTCCACCTAGATGTAAAATCTGATTTATTAAATGGTGTACTACATGAAGAAATTTATATAGAGCAGCCTGAGGGTTGATTAAGTAAGGAAAAGAAGAAAAAGTATGTCTGCTTAGAAAGGCTCTTTATGGCTTAAAACAAGCTCTTAGAGCTTGATAAAGCAGGGTTGATGATCACTTGTTGAGTTTGGGGTTTGTCTAAAGTATATCTAAACTTACTCTTTATGTCAAACATAAAGGAATTGATCTTCTCATTGTTTCCCTTTATGTTGATGATCTCTTGGTGACATGAAATAATGTATGGCTGGTTGAAGAGTTTAACAAGGAAATGATGCAAGTGTTTGAAAGGACAGACCTTGGCCTAATGACATACTTTCTAGGAATGGAAAATCAAGCAAGGTTGTGATGAAATTTTTAACTGCCAAAAGAAGTATGAAGGGGAGATACTTAAGAAATTCCATAAGGAAAATTGCAAGGCAACAAGCACACCAATGAATCCAAAGGAGAAGCTAAGCAAAGAGGATGAAGTTGATAAAATTGATGAAGGAAATTTTAGAAGTTAGATTGGATGCTTGATGTATCTCACTGCTACAAGGCCAGATATTCTATTTGTTGTAAGTCTCTTATCTAGATTTATGCATTGTGCTTTCGAAATGCATTTGCGAGCAGCAAAAAGAATTATAAGATACATAAAAGGTAGGAAATTTATCAAAACAGCAAATATTTAGCATTAAATAGGACCCTTTAGCTATACTTTCAATATTTACAATAAACAACTATATCTTAGTTTGCTATGAAATTATTTTTTGTATTTTTCGCATGTTTTTCACTTGAAATAATACAAATACAAAATAACCAACTAAGTAAATCATGGAAGAGAATTTTGCGAATTGGGTAAACATCCTGAAATTACTGTCTCATTACTTCCATTACATACAGGAGTCTCAAATAGACACTTGATTCTCCTTCTTCTTCCTCGAATTCAATTTGTCATCGATAATCGTCCTTGAAATTCAACAAATGATCAACTCATCATCGTTTTAATTTCATTTTTCGAGATCGATGAAACAAAAAAATGAAGCAGCGGTTCATTATTAGAGCAATGGATTGTTGACTAGAGAAGAAATTCACAGGCAATTCAGATTTGATTTTCGAGATTTAATCGATCATGTATTGTGTCAAATTTTTGGAGAGTAATTGAAGGATCTATTTCCGATCACGATCTGAAAATTTCAAAAAGGTTGTACATTCATCATCGTGTTCTTCGATGTCAGTAAGAAGAATTTTCTTTCGGTTAAATGAAGACGGTGAAGATTTTATTTTCACAAGGAAGAAATCTTAAATTTTGGAGAAAATAGCTTTTTATCTTTAAAAAAAAAATTACAATTGGAATACAATAATACAATTGATGATGTGATCTGCATTGTAAATTGAATGGATTCAAATTATTATGATGGATGATTGGGATACAAATTTATCAGGAATATAATTTAGAAGATTTGATCCAAATTGTATATTGAATATAAGAAATTTTGAAATACAAAATGAGTTTAGAATACAATTTTATTTAGAACACAATTTGTTTGGATGATTGGAATACAAATTTATTTAGAATACAATGATAATTTGATCCAAATTGTTTATTGAATATAATAAATTTTGGAATACAAAATTAGTTTAGAATACAATTCATTTAGAATACAATTTGTGTGGAATACAAATTAGATTGGATTATGATCTGATACAATTTTATTTAGAATACAAATTTATTTGGAATACAATTTAGATTATCTGACCCAAATTATATATTGAATATAATAAATCTTGGAATACAAGATTAGTTTAGAATACAATTTTTTTTTAAATACAATATGTTTATGAAACAGAAAAATACAAAAAAGCCCGAAAAAAACCAAAAATATATAAGGATTGAAACAAAATATAAAACAATTGAAAACCATTATTAGATTTGAATACGGAAGAGAAAAATATAAAAAAGCCCCAAAAATATAAATTAACTCTCCAAGATTACCAATAAAATCTCAATAACTATATACCCAAAATTAGATTACTCGAATCAATGAGATTCTGATGTAAATCCTTTGTATGACTTTTTTCCATTTTGAAAAAAAAAAGGGGAGAGAATCTGGGAGAGAGAGAAGGGGGAACAAAAATGGAAAGAGGATGTATTTTAGGATGATGGTTATAAACATTTAATTTGCTAAAAACATTTTAAAAAAATTGTTCTTTTTCATAATATTTTTAAACTATAGCTATTTTCAATAAATAAGTTGATAATTTTGACTAGTTCTATAATTTTTCCTAAAAGGTACTATCGAATATGGTGTCAAATTCAAGAATAGTGAGAATTTCAAGTTGTATGGATTCATAGACGATGATTGGGCTGGATCAATTGACAACATGAGAAGTACATCAAGATGTGGCTTTAGTCTGGGATCAGGGATTTTCTCTTGGTGTTCCAAAACGAGGAAACTATGGAACAATCCACGGTAGAGGCTGAACTCATTGCAGCAACGGCAACAGTAAAAAAACATTATGGCTGAGAAATATTTTCTGATTTGCATATATAATTTTTTATGCAAAAAATGCAACATTAGTGGAAAAAGAATAAAGTATGGTGCATCTTTTATTTGTCCAACAATATCAATAGTTTATGCATTATTTAGTAAGTTTATGTTGCTTAGTGCATCGGATTAGCTGACAATATAAGCTGAAAGTTAAACATAATTGGGGTACTAGTATAAGAATTATAAAAATCCAAAATGGCACAAAGAAAATTCATTTCTTTTTTTAATGAATTGTTGTCTTTTTTTTCTCATTTGAATCAATTGTTTCTTATATTTTTATATACGGTTAACAACTGAACAACCCAATCAAAACCGGTAACAACCAAACCGATAAATAAATATTCTATATGGTTTGGTTTTTAATAATTTAAAGACCAATTAAATTGTTCTGATTGTTGTTTTGACCAATAACCAACTCAAACCAACCCGTAAACACCCCTACCTATAACTATTGAGACACTTCTATGACATAATTGTTTCTTATGCTTTAATTATGCATGTAATTAATGGAAACGGATTAAAAAGGGAATTAGAACCACCTACTGGGGTTGTGGAATAGGAGCCATGATGGTTTAGGGGTTTTGGGTCGTGACACTGTCAATACGTATCTTGAAAAAAAATGTGTCATGACCGACTGTTCAGAAGTTGCAGCATACATGCATGAATGTAAAAAGAGTAGCTCTTTTATTACAGTTCAAATGCATCTACCTGTCTGCTATTCGACCTAAATGACTGTGCAAGGCACAGTGTGACAATTGTTCCATTGCATTTCAGGATGCGAGTGAACCAGATTCAAATACAAATACTCCTTTGTCCCATTTTATGTGACACCATTTGACTTGGATCCGTATTAAGAAAAAAGAAAGACGTTTAAAACTTGTGGTCTAAACCAATCCTTAGATTTGTGTGGCAATAAATCATTTCAATAAAGTAAATGGGAAATTTTAACGTTAAATTGTTTTTAATTATAGTAAGGTGATATTCTTTTTGGGACGGATTATAAAGGAAAGGGTGTCACATAAAATGGAACGGAGGGAGTAGCAAATAGTAACATAATAAGAGTTTGATGAATAACCTTGATGGAGATGATGTCAGCATATTCTGTGCCTTGAATTTCATTTTTGCTGCCTTTGACGCCTTGCTGGATCAGGTTGTTGTTTGCAGTTGCTATTGCAGTTTGGTCATTCCTTAACTTATCTAACATAACACGAAGCTCCTCATTTTGCTTGAGACAATCTTTGACCTGCATGGAAGTACTTCAAAAATAATGTCTCTGACCAGAAGAGAAACATTCGGGACATTGGAGCTACATTACCAAGGGTGTAATTACAATATAATATGAAGAAAACTATCCCGTACGCCAAAGAAGGAAATATACTCAACCAACTGATTGCATCTAAGAGCAAAAGTTAGATAAATGAGACCGCTGTTGCATATGGGAATTTTTCTAAAGCACATCTTATGCTTAAGGAGTACAGAAAAAATCACGCGTAGCCAAACTGAGTAAACTATTGAAATCTTCAAGAATTTGCAGGTAGCAGAAGCCAGCCAACCCAAAAACTTCCTCAAGAAGAAGATGCTTTATTGTTCTGATTTCTGAATCAAAGAAAGGTTAGATATCTTTTTTGTTCTCACTGGTACTATTGGCACTTCATGCTTTGATTTCAATACGGATATGATATCGGACACATTCACCAAGACTATTTGGTTTTGACGGTTAACAAATTGCAGGAATGATTGCCAAGTTCTTCCCATGTAACTCTTTTGCAATCACTAATACTTTTCAGTACTAACCTTATGAGAGAAACGACACTCATAAGTCATAAACCTTCCTCCAATCTGTCAACTATTTATTACAATCAAAGATTACATTAAGGAAAAGTAAACAGACTTGTCAATAATTATATACAGAGCATGATTTACTACTATTGAAACAGGACATGGAAGAAACTACATATAAGAATATTTCAAAGTAAACTTCAAAACAATGTGAATAGGCATCATACCATCTTCTCATCCTAATTTAACTTCAAGCACTTGAAATTACCTGATTCTCCCACTGCACCGCCACCCCTAAAGCTTCTTGATGAGCGGAAGAAAGATTAGAATTTTCCTCATATAGTCTCTCTATCTCTGAGGATTGTGAATCGATCTGAAATAAGAACAGAACGGAATGATTTCAAATTTCACATTGCAAAATGAAAAACAAAATAAAAATAGAGGATGGAGGATATACCTCCATTAGAAGTTTCTGGCGGCTACTTTCCAATCTTTCAATAGCCACTGCCATATCATGTAATTGCTTTTCAAGCCTCACCTTGTCTTCCTTAAAGGGTTGAAATAAGACCTTAAACTCAAAGAACATTGTTCTACCAAAAGTTTATAATACATTTAACCGCATGAGTCTTACCAAAGTACGACCGAAAACATTTTTTGAAGGGGACAAAAATATGAAGGGAATTAGCAAAAGAATTTAGTTGTGATAAAAAGACCATAAGAAACAAACCCAAAATTGAGGAACAGTTTTTGCACAGAAAAAAATGAGTCAACAGGGCAATTACACTGCAAGGGGATTTAGCAGCATGATATAAAGAATAACAATTTTAATAATGTATAAAAAAAAATTTAAAAGAAATTATCAAAAATAATGTATGCTCATTGGACGATCATTTTCCTTTCCACAGAAAACATTAGCCAACTCAAATTTAACATGCTGAATTTTATTTATCAACTGCAGACGCATTGATTACCTCTGAGAATGTCTTCTGGGATGCCTTTCCGGTGACTTCACCTGTAATAAATAGCACAATAATACAGAAAAGACCAACAGATATCACGAGACAGCCAACTGGTCGTTAAATGATAGATATTACAAGCAAAAGAGAAGTTCATGTAATGCATATGATTTATAGTTTACTATGTTAGGTGATTCTTGTTTCTTTTTCACTTCCTAAATTTTGTTGTGCAGTAATATTTTCAGATTGCAGTTTCAAATAAATCTATTTTCAGATTGTTTGCACTCCCCTTCGCTTGCTTCGATATGACCTACATTACTTTCTATTATTATTGATTGACATGAGTCAATTGGATAATGACCTTCATCAATCCACATAGGCTCTTCTGATATTATGGAGTGGACACCCTCAATTTTGAGCTTATAACTACTATTTTACCTTTACCTCCGAAGTCTTTTTTTTCCTCAACAATTTGAAAGTTGTGAAAATTATGCTTCCTTCTGTCTCTTCTCTCTCCCCGTAACTTTCTGCCTCTTCTCTTTCCATGTAACCTTCTCTCCTTTGCCACATACGCCAGGGTCACCGACCCATCTCCCCTACACCACCGCATTGCAGACCGATCTCTCCTACCCACTGTGTCGTCGATCCATCCCTCCTACGCCACCTACCACCATTGACACTGGCGTTCCAGCTTTGGTATGTTTCAGGTTTTTTCTCTCCTCTTTTCTGCTACTGACGGAACCCTAGTTTCTGGTCCACTATTAGAGCCAGAGAGACCCGGTGACCTCAACTTTGTCATCTGTCTCTTCACCGAACTGCCACCAATTCTGTGTTCTCCTCCAAGATCTGACCAAAGAAGTGATGCTATTTTCCAGCAACCTCTATACCAACAAGGTCCGACCAGTATCAAATTGGAGCAGTACTCCTAGCAGCTAGCAATTTTCAGCTACTTCGTGAAGCCATAAAAGCAGGTTCTTTGTACTTCAAGACTTGCCGCACCACAGGTTTCTTTGATCTGTATTTAAATTTTTATTTGGCTAAGCTATATTCTGGTTGGTCTTCGCAGTTTCTTGTTCGCTTTACTTTTGTTTTGACTCTTCCTCAGAAGCTAGTTTTCAAAGTTAATTATTGGGAGATAGTGTAATTCTATGCATTGTTCCCCCCTTATCTGCCTTAATCCCTTGCCTTCTTGATTTTTGCTATAGTTCTGGTCCAGATGCTGTTTGTTTTTAGCTCTTGTCCAGCCTTCCGTATTTTTGTTATCTGCATTGGTGGCTTCAGGGTTTGATGGTAGTTTAAAGCAGGAGCGGGGGTCAGGGGTGGCAAGGATACCAAGGGAGATTGAGATTCTAGATTGCAGATTAGGTCTTGGGACATAGGGAGCTTGAGGGGGAAATCAATAGAGTAAATGACGATTCTCAAGAAGAGGTAGATCAATGTAGCTTGTGTCCAGGAAACCAAATGGGTGGGAACCAAGGCAAATGTAGTCGGGTTTAAGTTGTGGTACTCAGGAAGCTCGAGGAGTAGGAATGGGGTAGGCATTTTAGTTGATAGGGAACTCAGGGAGTAAGTTGTAGAGATTAGGAGGGTGAATGAAAGAATGACGACCGTTAAGCTAGTTGTGGGAGAGCTGACTTTTAACATAATTAGTGCACACGGTGCACAAACAGGTTTAGACGAGGAGGCCAAAAAGCTCTTCTGCGGGGATTTGTACGAGGTTGTGAGAGACATCCAGTGCATCGAGAAGCTATTTTTAGGAGGAGATTTTAATGGTCACATAGGGACCACATTTAGGGGTTATGATGATGTACATGATGGTTTCAACTTTGGGGATAGAAATGAAGATTTCCACTTTTAATTTCACTAGTGCTTTCGATTTGGTCTTAGCAAACTCGAGCTTCCACAAGAGAGAGAAGCACTTGGTGATCTAATGTAGTGCGGCGGCTAAGACCGGGATAGATTACCTACTCCTTAGAAAGGGCGAAAGAGATTTATGCAAAGGACTTCAAGGTTATTTCGAGGTGATGATCTCCTTGGCGACGCGTGGGAGGTAGATTCACAGCGGCGCCCGTTGTGGTTTGGTAACAAGGAGACAATGTACCTTTGGGTAGCGTTGGTTTTCACACAACATTGATGAAAAGTGAAACTATGTAAGTCACATCTAAGGAGTCACGGAAAAGACGCACGAAACTACGCAAATAAGATCTGAGGAGTCACCGGATAGACGCACAGTGCTACACAACTTAGATAAGAGAAAGTAGTCTAAAAAGATGCATGATGCTACACAAATCATATATGAAAAAGTAGTCACTGAAAAGATGCAAATCAAATATGAGAAAGTAGTCACCAAATATATGCACGGTGCTGCGCAAATCGGATATGAGAAAGTGGTTATTGGAGAAATTCCCAGTGCTACACAATTCAAATCTAAGAAGCCACCGGAAAGAAGCATGGTGACAACTTTCTTTGTCTTAGATGCTTCTCTAATCAGTCCTTTTTTTTTGAGAAAAGGGTAACTTTGTATTCATAGAAAAAATTCATCATCCAAGAAATGATGAATTGGAAACTTACATCCCATAGTGTGATGGGCCCACCCCATACAGTTTATCAGATTACAAGTTTCCTAAGAACTCTGCTACTTCTACCACCAACCCCCCCCCACCAAATCTTGTTTACACCAAAAAAATAGAAGACTAATACAATTTGTTTTAATCCTCTGACAAGTAATTTTCTGTCCTTCAAAGCACCTAGTGTTTCTTTCCTTCCATATGGACCACCAGATACATGATGGGATGAGCTTCCACCATTCTTCCTTTTTACCTCTGCTTCCAACTCCTAGCCAACTGTTCAGAAGCTCCAATGTAGTCTTTGGCATCACCCAACTAACCCCCAAAATGCATAAAAACCTATTCCACAAACTGGTAGCTATTTGGCAGTGTATGAATAGATGGTTGTTCACTTCAGCTTCCTGTTCACACATAAAGCACCTTGAGCAGATTTGCATGCCTCTTTTCTGTAGGACCTCATGAGTGAGACATGCCTTCTTGATTAGTAGCCAAACAAAACATGAAACTTTCAATGGACATTTCACCTTCCAAAGCAGTTTCCAGGGCCATCTTTCAGTTCGTGAGACATTATGGTTCATCTTCCAGTAGCATGATTTCACTGTATAGACCCCTTTGTTGTGTATCTTCCATACTGGCTTATCAGAACTCTCAGAGTCCTTAGCATGATTATTTTTCATACATATAGTATTGTCGCAACTTTTGATAACATAATCGTTGGCTAGACATGCAGCTATATGAGTTATAACAACCCGCCGGTTGCGGAAACTTTTTTTATTATTTTCTACCAAGATCGTAGATACTCTAATATAATGTGAGAAATATTATAGAAGAATATTATTGAATTGTGTATCTACATTATTATATTGAGACTATATTTATAGACACTACATTAGACTCCTTTTCCAACTAAGACAATACATTACAATCATTTTCCAAGTAGGATTCTATATACTATTCTTGTTCCTACTCCTATTCTAAATGAAATAAACCAAAACAACTCTCCTCATATTGTATATCAGGGAGCTCTTTGATGCCTTGTAACCTCATTTTAATTATGATATTCTTTTGATGCTCCGTTCAAATAAGTTCCTACTGTGTTTAAATTTTGTTCATTTCTCTGTGACAATCACCAACAGTTATAGTTACCTTGTGATTTCATATCACCCTATTAAATATATGGTTAAAATAAGTTTCAATGGGATCTCCCAAGTCTAGGACACCTTTGTTTGAGAGAAGTCTACCAAGATTTACAACTTGTCTTGGACCTTGGAAAACCGCAATCAAGCATGGAGGCCTTGAAAGCACTGTTGAAGCTGCAGGATCTGTGCAAGAAGCAGAGCATAGCATTCGCAGAATATACCCCGTGATCGGGGAAGCGCGCAGTGAAGGACACAATCACTAATAAGCCATCGCGATCATGGAAGCCCATGTCCCAGCCATCTGCGAAAGCGGATCCATGACCATGAATGCGCCGCCTCCAGGCCTAGTCCAAGATTGCGATCGCAGACCACTTGTCGCAATTGGGGAGAGTACTTAATCACCCTAGTTCCAGCTTTGTTAATTATAGCCTATTTTCTTTTAGGGCTTGTTAGACTTTATTATGTAATATTTAAACCTGGTATACAATGGCAATAACATACCCAACGAAATCCCACATGTGGAGTGTGGGGAGGGTGGCAGCCTTACCAATACTTTATAAGGACAGAGAGGTTGTTTTCGATAGACCCTTGGCTCAAGTAAAGCATATCAAACAATTTAAACCTGGTATAAATAAGTAGAAATATCTACTAACCAAAAATGGTTAGTTTAAAGCTTACATTTGATGAATGATGACTTTTGTGAGAATTGGAGAGTTCACAAATCCACTTGAGGGTATCTTATAGAGTAGATGTTGCTTAATTGCTTGTTTAAGGTACTTAATCTCTATGAAATGTTCTAGATTCTGCAAATCTTTGCAAACTGAAAATGGAGTTCATTTTTTTATGACTGAGAAATTTGTTTGGAACCAACCTTTAGGGCCAAGTGCAGCCTTCGACAACTTAGAACGATAGGCTGCGCAAACTCAAATTTGTGACCTAGGACACAATTCCCTCAATCTTTGCATTGAGCACAATCCTAACCTCTCTAACAGAACGGGAAAAAAATTCCAACCATGTATCGACAACCCAGCAATCTTATCCAACACAGTTTGGCCTTATTTTTCAGTTTTCACCATTCAACATAGCCACGGGTGACGAGTGGTATGTAGCTTCAAATCCTGCCACATTCAATCACCCATATTTAATGCTTTCCGCCTCCGTTCCGTATGAGACTAAACGATGAAATATACACTATTTGTTATCTTTCACCTTTACACCAACCGATACTCTTCATGTTGCACATCCATCGCTCAATTTAACATCTAGTTGGAATTTCTGATCTTAGATTTTTGGACCTACCAGCCTTGCACTATTCAAGATATTCAACTGTGATTTGGTCAATCTTTCACAATTATTTTATATTCTGCACCTTCAATATTGTGACAAATTTTGTTTCATCAGATGGCTATCCTTCCGTCTTTACGTACTCCCTTACTCAATAACCTTTAAGATCAATTTCAATGTTTGACTACCCTGTATCCTGTATCTGGACATTTACATTTATACAAATTGCTAAGAGCTAAGCAATTCAATCTAAAATATTGAACAATATATACCTGAGACCTTTTTGGACATAACAGCAAGCTTCTCTTCCAAATCCTGCTTTTGAGAACTTAGTGCAGATACATGCGCTTTCTCCTCCGCTAACTGCTGTCTTTCTTGTTGCCTCAACAGGGTCAGTTGCTGTAATTACAAAAATGGTATAGCAAATAAATAAAGCTTAAAGAGGTAATCATGACAACATAAACAAACAATGTAACCTCTAATTGAGATTTTAAATTTGCTAGCTCTTTCTCCATAGCTTGCATATGATCTGGCGGAAAATTCATTGAAGTTAAACCACTAACAGGACCGGTCATTGCTTGCTGCTGTAATGAGTTTAGTTCTGCTCTTAGAGATCCCGCATCCTCTTCAGCCTAATCCCAAAAGGATTCAAACGTATTAAGGCATACTATTCCACTTCAACTCATTAAGTGAAAGAAAATACTAGCATACCCGATACTGTTCCTCTTCTACTTCCTTCAAACGTTTCTTAATTGTACGAAGCAGAGCTGAAAGATCCTCCTATATTTAAACAACAGGGCTCATAGGAAAAAGACAGATGGAGCACATATAAGGTTAAAAAAACAATAGAATGGTAGTAGAAATGATATGTACTCGTGCAACAACTGCTGCATCCTTTTCCATGGCAACATCCTTGAGTGCTTTTCTTAATGAAGGTATAGTGATTTGCTCCTGCACTTCCAAAGAAAAGAAAGTGAAGCCACCTATCTACTTAAAAGAGGTCTCAATATCTTACTTAAATTCCTTTTTATTTCTCCTTTCAGCAAAGTGAAGACAAATTCAGAATAGTTTATCATCTAAGGAAAAGGATCCAAGTGTGCAGAATAACGTATTGTATTGGGAAAGCGTAACCAAATATATTGTTGTACTAAGATCTTAAATTAAAGTAATTACAGTATCATGACCTCATCCATGAATGAACACAATAGCTAGGATATGAGCAGATAAAGACCATATTAATAAGGTAATGATATTTGTTTCATTTATTACAATGTCTATAAATAATACTCCCTCCATCCCATAAATGTGAAGGTGTTAAACTGGGCACGGAGTAGAATGAAGGATGTACTTTTGAAACTTGTAGTCTAAAACAAGTCATTAAGAAATGTGTGGCGGTAAATTGTCTCATTAAGGGTTAATGGGAGTGTCACATAAATTGAGACAAAGGGAGTAGGAACAACGTCCACTACCTAAGTCATACTTTATCAAAGTCTTTGTATTCTTATTTTTATTTTTTTTGAGAATGAACTTTATCAAAGTCTTTATATTCACTCCTAATACTTGCTGATTGTTAAAAGTTACAATCATTAAAGGGACATTATCTAGCTGTTACTGTGGCGCAACTGAGATGTGGAAATGAGTGGTGTTTGAGCTTTATAAGGGATTCTTCGATTGGGAAATTGAAGGATGACTACCTTGCTGCAAGAATTGAGTCTGGTATCACTAGATGCTGAAATGAGGATTCTTTGCTATGGACTGGACAGAGCAACGGTGTTTTCTATGTACAATCCTGCTATATAATTTTGGTAACAGCAGAAAAATTTTCTTCATGGCCTTGGAAGATAATTTGGGAAGCCAAAATTACTATATAAAGTGGCATGTTTCAGCTGCATATTGGCTCATGATGGATGCTTGACAGAGACAAATTTCCAGAAAAGAGGTCTGCAGTCATGCAGCAGATGATTCCTTTATGGGAAAGGAATTGAGGATAATAGGAATTCCAGCACTGTGAGGTCGTTGGTTACCTTTGATATCTCTTTTTCGGTATCTTTGGGCTGGAACATGTTTTTAATGGACGAGAATTTCATTTGGAGCCAAACGCAACCTTAGAAACTCAAGGATGACGAGTCTAATCCTCTACCCTTCTCCACTAAAAAAGTTAAGACTTAGTTTGCTTGGCACAAAGGCTTGAATCTTAGTGCTGGAAGTTTATATGAATGAAGCATTTACCGTATAAAAAAAAGGAACACTATGGATTTGAATCCCATACATTGATGACTTTCAAATAACTGATCATAAAACTTTTTCCAGTAAGAACTTATTCTATGTGGACCATTTACATGACTGGTCTCCATTGAAGAAACTATAACTAAAATACAACATCTTTTTCCTCAGATAAATAAGTGTAAATATGACATTTGAAAGCTGCATTACCAGATCATTAAGACGTTTTTGCAACATGTTGTTCTCAACTTCTTTTGTCTGAAGCTGAAGAAGAAAATTTTAGAACAAGAGATATTCATTAGTACTAAAAAAAACGTATTCAAAATGAGGGAGGAAAGAAGTAAATACCTTTGAGGCGAGTGCTCTATTTTCTTCATCTAGTTGTGTGTTTTGTTTTTGCACAACTTTCAATTGAGAAACTAAGGCAGTGATATCATTCTGCAGATGGATACATAACTCAAACAAATGAATATTAACCTAATGGTATTCTTAAAGCAGTGCAGTTTGTGAAAAGGAAATTGAGTTTACCTCTGATAGGCGAGTTGCACTCTGAGATTTTGTAATCCCCAAAACCTCTGGCAAAAAAAAAAAAAACTTTTGAAGATGAGAAGAATGGAGAAAAAGAAGGATTGTTGATTAAATTTTGTTACCAGGTTTAGCAAGATCTGGTCCAGAAGACGTCTTGCTTAATCTCTCTGCTGCTCTCTTTTGACGAATTTCTTCCAACTGCATACATACAAACAAGTTATGGAAAATTTTGTAAATGAGAAACGAAGATTGCGGAGCCTAAAATTCATACCGTTCGACGACCAAGGGAGGCGTGACGAGACTCCATACCCCAAATCAAATCCAATGCGAGGAAGGACCCTTCTCCGCTCCTTTGCCTAACCCAACTTCCCTTTAACACAAAAAAGAGGAAAATAAGAAATTTTTCATTTTCTTTCTTAACAAATATGACAAATTGAATAAATCTTTATTTTGTTTTTCAAACACTTTCTCACCTTAAAATGTAGTAATTAAGTTAATTTGGACAAAATTAATGTTTTCAAAACTTTCTAATCATCTCACATATCATATATCATACAATGACTTTCGCATATAGCCACTCAAAATTAGTCTAATTACGCTCCATAACCATAGTTTGATAATTATAATTCGTAGCTACATGTTATAAGGAAAAGAGAGATTGGGAAAAAGAGGAGAGTGGCGAGCGAGAGTGGGAGAAAGGTGAATTGTATATGTATATCGGTTAGATAACTGTATATTATATATATGCATGTGTATATATGTCAAGCAAGACTGGGAGAGGGAGGAGAAAGGCAAGTGAGATTGGGAGAGGGAGGAGAGAGGCGAGCGAGAGAGGGCAATAATTTGTATAATTCACATCTCATTTGTATAATTCACAACTACATTTGTGTAATTCGCGTCTTTTTGTATAATTAATTAATATAAAGTCTGGAATTATACAAATATGATAAAACTTGAAATAACGAATTGATACAAACATACACATATGAACTTTAAACAGTTATACAAAATATATTATACAAATTACATTATATAAATTATATTATACAAAATCCAAAAACTACACGTTTATACAAACCTTAAAAAGTTATACACAAAAATATTGAATGTATATGGTGACAAAACTGATAAACCAAAGGAAATCATCGTCATATACAAATATAAATCATCGTATACAAATACAAATCGAACGAAGAATTGCTAGTTGCGAATTATACAAATGTGGCGAATTATACAAACGTGACTAATTATACAACTTGAAGTCAGCCCACGTAATTAATGGTTAATGTTAGTCGCGAGTGGCAATTATAGCAAACTATAGCTATGATGAGTAATTAAATAGTATAAGTTTGCTTAACTGCTTAATTTTCCCATTTATCATATATATATATATATATAAGAGAATCTTAGGCCTGCCTATGTGGCGCCACCACAAATCAGGATTCCATTTCACTACAACATTTTAGGCCTTAGGCCACACTAAATCTGGACAACGCTTGTAAAGTGTTGCCTAAAATATTTTTGGCTACGCTTTTTAAGCGTATCCTTAGTTTTTACCATTTGGCTACGATAACTTTGGCAACGCTTATAAAGCGTGCTCTTTAGTAGTATAGGCTACCCTTTATAAGTGTTGTCACATCATGATTTAATTAGCAATGCATGTTTATACATATGACTACGCTTTTAAAGTGTGATATTTTTATTATTATTAAAATAACACTTACAAGTGTGGCCTTATAATTTTCCTAAATTTTTCACCAAAATAATGTATTCCCCCCAATATATTTAACTCTCCCTCTAATTTCTAAGTGGCAAAATATAACCTCAATATAAACATAACTCTAAAAACTTTTTTCCCCAAATTAGAATGCTCTCCTAGTTGCTCTTTGCCAATATAAACATAACTCTAAAAAGTAAACCCTACTTTCTCTCCTTCTCATTTCCACCGCAAAAAATCTCCAGTGTAACTTTATCGATGTTTACTTGTGATTTCCTTTATCGTTCTTCACCTTTATGGGAGAGACTAGAGAAACAATTCGAAGAATTCCAGATCTGGACGAATCAGAGAATCTACATGTTGTGGCGATGGAGATAGATTCAGTCACTCGACTCATATATGTCAGTCTTCTTCTCGATATCATTCTCGTCCCACTGTATATCATTTTTTTGCTAGAATTTTGCATGAACATCAATAATTGTGAACTATGTTCTTCGTTCTTTTGCTCTATTTGTTGGTCCTGGTGTTGATTACTGCTTTTGGCATCTTCATTCTACTTCTGAAGTTCTTAAATTTGTACTTTGTTTTCATCTTACTTATGAAGTTCTTGAATTTTTACTTTGTTTACCTTGTGGGCTTCTTAATCGTAGTTTTGTGTTAATTTTGACGAATTTGATTGTTTGATCACACGCCTCTTATAAGAATTCATGTGCATCTGTGCAAGTTCTATTTTATGTAACTGATATGTCCATCATTGAACAGCTCAAGAGTGACATTATTTATTACTACTCGACAATAATTGTAAGGAATATGACATAACATTAAAAATGACTTTTTATATAATTTCAGTTTCCTATCTTGTATATTTCTATTGTGTAATATCATTTTCTAATACCTAAGAATAATCCACCATAGAAAACAAAATAGCTGGCAGAAAACAATGAAGAACCTGCACAAATATGCTAAAAGTTTGATTGCAAAATTTATTAAGAAGAAGCCGACATTTGGATGGTATAAGGAGATATTTTATGTGCATCTAATGCAGTAAAGTTATGTAAGTTCTTATATATTATCAATTGTGGTAGTAAATATTTGAAGAGACTACATAGGTTGTAGAAGATGCATTTAGGAGATGATTCCATTGTTTTCTATTTTCCGATTTTCTTTTACAGGAATTCTTTTTACATGTTCTTTTCAGCGACTCATAACTTGGATATCTAAGCCCTATAAAACTGGCTAACATAATTGCAAATTTTGGATTGAATATTAATTATTAGCATATCAGTAAGGAAGTATGATTGTTATGGCAAAGAAAATAATATTTTAGAGTGGAACAGAATGCAACTTTATCCATTGTTTCCGCAATCCTGGTGGAGATTATGAATGGGCGAACTTGGATAAACCACCGCCAAGATACTGGCTTATGAAGATGGCTGCTTTGCTTGGTTATGTTGATGAGTCTGTCTATGATAGATGGCTTGAACGGAAAAAGTCAGAACAGATGTTGAATTCCTACAAGATGCTGGCAGCTGATTTTGACAGGTCCGTTAGTTTTTTGTATCTTTCATGTGAACTTAATAACGTATTGAAACATATCTTAATACATCCGTCTTTTCTAAAAGAATATGCTGATACACCCATCTCAAACATAATTCTTCAGTTATGCTCTCTGATCTTAAGACATTACACGACACATGTTGGATCTATGGTGGTGGCAATCAGGTAGTTGTGTTGAATTTTAGCTGGTTAAGAACCAACTAAAAAAATTGGCTCAAACTAACTCAACCTATATTTAATGTGTCAAAAATTGGGTTAGATGATAAGTAATTTGGCTCAGACCTGCATCTTGTTGGTGCTCTACTTGTTAGACATGAAATTTAAAATATAAAGAAAGAGAGTAAATATCTACTACTCGGATCTAACCTTCCTTCACATGTTGAAGCAAGTAATGAACGATCATGTGCTTCTAGAGATTAAAGTGTGCTCTTGCAATCCTGGAGATGCCGAGTGACCTCTTCTTTACATCGTTCGTATATGGAACTCAGATGTTGTTGTTTCTCTTGCAGCACTTCTTCTACATGTTTTCTCTTTGATTTATTCAGACTGGTTATTCTTCCCATGTCTGCTTGAATCTGAAACTCAACATTCTACAACTGCATATGTACTTTCTTAGCAACTGACATCAGGATCTCAACATATCTTTGGTTAGTCAAATACTTCAGTTTGCTTCTAACTTTTTCTAATGAGAAAGCAAATAATGTGATGGCATTAGTTACCACATCCTCTTCATTCCTTTCTAAATGTCTTTCAAACATCCTACAATCAATTCTGTTAGAAGAAGTTATAGAAAGACTAACTCCAGAAAGATTAGCACAACCTTTGTTGAAGAGATTTTTGTTTGGTCGAGGAGGTTGTTCCCCGGTATTACAAATTTCAGGAGACGGTGGTTGCTGTCATCTTGAATATTGGAACTGTCTTCAGAGTCCTTGGTATCACATTCCATGGATGATGGTTTGGAAAACTTAATCTGTGTATCTTCTTCAATGATACTTCTTGATTCCAGAAAATGAGAATTTTCCAAATTTCCTGCATCATCAGATGATTCATCGGGTGTATTGGACTTATATTCTCGTCTAAATCCATCAAATCTCTTGACCTTACAAATGCCCTCAATTTTTGATGTTATATCTATATGATCATGTCACGACCCGAGAGCACCCCCTAGTCGTAACCGGCGTACTCGACCTCTCGGAGGTCTAATACAAGCCTCTTAGCATTCATTCATCGCATAAAACTAAAAACCATAATGAATTAAAAACTTTCTTTACAAAGAAGACATTTCATTAAAACAGTAAGCGGAAGACTTCTAGACTTTATACACTTATGTCTCAAACCATCTAATACTTTGAATACAACATTGGGATTAAGCCCATACAAAACTTCAGCAAATACTAGAAAGACATAAAATAAAAGGACATGTAGGGTATTGCCCTTGAATCTATGAGGACTCACCAAGTCTTCATCTTCAACACTTAGAAACCTATCAAGTAGCCATGACATGTCACCATCTCCAAATCCCTACACTTTAGTCAAAAAGGGAAGAAATGGGGTTAGCACAATTGAGTACTAAGTATGGAGACCATGCAAGAAAATATGCACAACAGACACTTACAAGAAATGTATGATTTCATATCATTTTGATAGAACCTTCACTTCACAAGTATAAGAGACATAAAACAAGTCAACATCACATATAAGACCATAGCCAACCATACACATACTCAACATATATCCATATACAACCACCGTATACATACTCAACATATATTCATATACAACCCATGCTTAACTTTAAAGGAACACATGCCATTTCATTACCATAGGACCTCTACCTAATATAACCTTAAGACACACTTGAGTGAGACAAGAAGTGACCGCCCATACAACCTCTTCAAGCACACTTAAGTGTTCCTCAAGATTACCTTAGATAAGGACATTTCCTTTACAACATAACATCAATAGACCAACATTCTTTAAGAAACCATTTTTGGAGACATTCAAGCACATAAGGGGACTTTCACATAATAGTCGTTAGACTTAGGGAACTCACTTTAGTATCTTCAAAGCCTACTCGTGCCATGTGTAGATAGCATCCCATACTACTACCTACACGTTGTAGAACCTA